AGGGGTGCCGGGACCCCCCCTCCGTCCTGCTGAGGAGCTGAGTGCTCGTTTCCAAACCTCTCGTATTTTGAGCAATCTGTGGGTCTCCATGAAGTCATTTCAGTTTGACACTCAGAGCATGCAGAGGGGTTCTCAGTCTTGTGCAATTCCCTCCTCCCTGTTTTGGAACCTGGTTCGTAGGGTTTTTTTTGGTTTGGTTTTTTTTTTGGGTTTTTTTGTTTTTTTTTTTTTTTTGGTACGAGCGTAAGCCAGATGCGTCCATTCCACAAAGGAAACTCTGGCCTGCGCACGGATGATACTCGGCTGTGTTTACCTGTATTTCCTTTGCCATGTCAGAGATCTTGACGGTGCAGTTTCGTTCTGACTCACTCTTGCTTACTGCTGTGGAAATGCATTGACTCTGCAGTACTACGAAGTGGTTGCATGAATGAATAAAGCACCTTTTCCTAAAGAGTGTCCGGGGGACGTGGGTGTATTTCTAAACCTTTAGGAAACAGCTTTCATGTTTGCCAAGAAAATCATTTCAGGAAGGAAAGCGTGTTACTCAAAAGCCATTCATACACTTTTACCCCACCTCCCACAAACTTCTAAGAGCTGCACGTTCACCAGAAATACTCAGCAGGATGGCAGAATTGCATTTCTGCAGTAAAACAGAGGCATTTGGGCAATTGCTTCTCCTCCGCAGAGTGACATGTGGAGAGGTTTGTCCTGGGCAACCTGCGCTGGCTGACCCTGCACAGGCAGGGCTTGGGCTCGGTGGTCTCCAGAGGTCCCATCCTCTGGAGCAGGGTGACTTCTTATTAAAGGAGCTGCCTATCTGTGTAGCTTTTCTTATGTTGGCAAGTTTTTCCAGATTTTTGCCTTCTTGGTCCCAGTAATTGCTTTCGGACAAAGGAACATTGTGTACTTTATGGGGTATCTATTCTAGATACAGCTTAGAGGATCCCCTAGAATTCCAGGCTATCATAATGCTGTGTTTCTTTCTTCCCATTTCAGAAATTCCCCACTTCTCATCCCTTCAGATTCCGGAGTTCCGCTGTCAGTGACGCTCTGGGGGAAGCAGAGACTTAGTGGCCTTTTATTCACCTTGTGTGAAGAGCCGTTTTGAAGCAATATGTCATTTGCTCTCTCAGCATCCTCGTTGCTGATGACTAACAGTTCCACATGGTGAAGCACAGACTGCTTTTTTTTTTTTAAAGTTTTTTTTTTTTTAAGGGTGTTTTTTTTTTTTGCTGGCAAGGCATGACATTGGGTTTTTCACTTCTGGAAACCTGCTTTCTAGCACTCTTGTCGGAATTTGCAATGTGACTCATATCAACCACCTCAACAGGTAAATCCCAAATTACTCTTTGGAAATTTAACCAATGTCACTGTTTTGTCTTGTAACATCTAACTGTCCAGAAATAGGTTACTAATCATGAGCAGAAGACATTATTATGACGTTAATGTGACTTGTAATATGACATAGGAGAGCCTTACATAAGAATTTCATAGCAGGTCCAGAACTTCCATTTGACCTAAATCAAGCTGGAATCTTGACCTAAAAGCATCAAGTAATGGATACATCCTCCAATCTGTAGATTCAGTGTTCCGGTGATTAACTTCACTGCGAAATATCTGCACTTTTTAAATTGCATACGTAAAACTCCAATATTTGGAAGTCTGCTGCAACCTGTAAGGCAGATAGAGAATATCATCCCCATTTCATATCCTGCCCTGGGATTTCAGGGTGCGCTCTGTCAGCCTAGCAGAGCGAGCTGTGCTGTTTTTCCCAGGTGTAGTTGGCCATTTTATGCCACACTGCAAGGGGTTTGCAGAGCCGTGGAGGGGGATGGCGCTGCAGCAATACGCTCTTCTCGCTGGGTTCTTCTAACGAGCCCATTGACGCAGCGTCAGGCCATCTTCCAGGCAAACGACGCTGCCCTTGTCCACGTAGGACTATTTCCCGCTCCACAGAGGAGCAATTACGGACAGAGGGATTATTACCTTTCTTCTCTTTTTTCCTGCAATATGTTCTTGGCGGGGATTTTCCGATGCTCTCGGCAGTGTCCTGTTTCTGTCCTTACAGAAAGCGATGAGATCTCGGCACTGGCGCTTCAGGGAGCAGGGAGCGTGTGCTCCGAGCAAGCGGGGAGGATGAACAAGGCTTTTTCAGAAGAATGCAGTATGTTTGCAGGTAAGCCAAGAAGGTAGAAGTATGCAAAATCGGTCAACTATACGATCCATCTTGACTTACCCAAATATCTCTTGCACTGCCTTTTTTTTTTTGAGCATCCTACAGAGGCAATTTTGAGCAACTCTTGTCTTGAACAGGTCATTTCATAACTGCTGTTTTGATGAGTTTCTTTTTTCTAGTTTTGGTATTACTGGGGTGTGTAGATCTTCTGAAGAATATTGTTTTTGTCATGATTTAGCATCAACACTCTGATCAATAATACAAATACAAACTATTTATAGGTATGAATGGTCATAAGACAGAAACTAGTTATCATGGTTTGAGAAATCAGATAATGTAAACCAGCTGCTCGGAAGTGTAATGTGACCGTCGGGGTGAATTACGGAGGCAACTTCACTCATTTTCCACAGCAGCATCAAGCCCTCGGCCTGAAGCCAAAATTCAGGCTGGGTCACTCACGCAGTGGAGTTTTGGGGTGGTTTTTTTGGTGTTTGGTTTTTTTTGTTGTTGTTGGTTTGTTTTTTTTTTTTTTTTGCATGGTGCAGAGCAGCTCACACTGTGGGTTAAGAAATCCTGGGTTTTCCTTTCCACCCCCCCAACACGCAGAGAAGCACATGCCGTGGCTGGCGATGCTGCGCGTGACGGCTGATCATCCCCAGTGCCATGAGGGATGCTGCAGCATCCCCGGTGCTGCCGGGGGATTTCCCGTGCGCCCCCACCATGGCTTTTCGCTCCGAAATCATTAGCATGATAACGTGATGGCCCCTGGGACTCCCCTGCGAGTCGTTCGGTACAGGCTGAAGCTGGGGCTCTGACCCGGTGTGTTAGTCAACCAGAAAAGCAATAGTGATGGCCATGCAAGGCTGTATTCAAATCTGACATTTCGGAGGCCCCTCTGAGAAGCCAGGGCAA